TCCTAAGCCATACACGCAACTCATGCTTCTTATTTCACTCTGAACTTTGTGCTAAGGCTTAGCCTCCTCCAGGCAGCCCTCCAAGATCTCACCCTACCCAGCTCAGCATCCCGGGGTGATCTCTGCCCTCTGCTCTCCTGGGGTGTTAGACTCGTCACGTGTGTTTTTCTCTCCCTCCAAGCCGGGGCTATATCAGGGCCCAAGTTTGTTCCTGTGTCCACATCTTTATTCCCAGTGCCCAGTCTAGGACAGGGCACTAGCTAAGGATGGTGGGTGTCTAATGTGAGGGCAGAGATGTTCTTGCTCTGGATCACAGCCATGCAGAATGACTTGACTTGAAGTGTCCAGGTGTCAGTCATCAAACCTAGGGAGGACACAGAACACCTAGGCTGCCGGGTCCTTCCTGAATCTCACCTCTCCGTTTACCGATAGAGCAACAAGGCCCAGAGGTGCACCGAGTGGCTCGGGTCCACCCAGTGAGATGGGGACGGATAAGCTGTGGATCTGATCACAGTGCTGTCCACGTGCTTAACACCTTCTATGGCTCCCTAGTTCCCCTGGTACAGACACTCGTAAGGACTCTGGCCTCTGCCGGCCCTAAAGCTGCCCCATTGCAGTCCCTCTAACTCTTTCTCCGTCCCTAGAACACACCACAGCTGTGCATCCCAGTCTTTCCCACCCCTCACGTCCGTTCCTGGCTCAGCTCCGACTTCCCTCCTCCCGGTAGCTTCTCCCAGCCCTGGGCCAAGGCGCCAGCCCCGGGCACCCCCGCGCTGCCCTCCGACAGCTCTGATCATGTTTGCTCTTTAGCGCCCCAAAAGCCGTATGAGGCCAGGGCATGTGCTACCTTGATTGCTGCTAAAGGTCCCAGGATTGGCATACAGTCGGTGTCCAATAATTGCTTATTTCTTGAACGAAGGAGTGAGTGATGCGTTATTCACTTGAACAGTAAATAATGGCTCAGGTTCTGAGGTTGGATATGAAACGCCAAGATGGAGCGGTGATTTGAAACAAGGTCTGCCTTCCTCGTGGGATGGGTGACCCCTGTTTCTCTGTGTTTGTTTTCCTGTGACATTTGGGACCAGCTCTGTACCTCGAATAAGATTTGGGGGTGTTTGTGGAAGGCGTGGTTTAGGGCGAGGGGCGCAGGGTCTTAACCCCTGAGCCTCAGTTTCCTCATCTGTCCGAGGGGACCAGGTCGTGTGTGAGCCGTGGGCAGCACTGGGGAGCCTGAGTCAGCAGCTGTCCCTTTAACACGGGAGGAGGGGCCCGGGCCACCGAGGAGGAAGTTGGGCAGGGCCAGGCTGGGAGGCCACACTGGCCCAGGGACTGCCAGGCGGAGCGGTAAGGGGCCTCATCCAGCCGGGGCCAGCAGGGGCCACTGGGGCTCAGCGTGAGGGTGGGCGTGGGGTGGTCCGGGGCCAAGGCCAGGTTAAGTGGGTGGCAGCAAGGGACCTGAGGGGCCGAGCCCTCCTGGGGACACCAGTCCAGCTCAGGGGACCCTGAGGGTGGAGAGCACGGGGCCGGGTGTCCTGCCAGTCAGAACCTTCCCGGCCCTCGCCCAGGGGCTCAGCTGTGGAGTGACACCAGGTGGCCTTGGGGAAAGGTCCCTGGAGAGGGAGGCGGGCAGGAGGTGGCCAGGGTCACACATTGGTGGCACCTGAGCCCTGTTCCCTCTGTCCCTGCGGCCCCCACACTGGGTGAGAACCATGTGTCCCTGGACTGAGCCTTGTCGCAGCCCCAGACCTCTGACAGGCTGTGGCCACTTGGACCTGGTTCACTTCACTGATGCCCGCTGTCTCTTTTGTGAGGCTGGCACACCCGGGAGGGCTTGGGGACTCTGGGACCATTCAGCTCCTAAGGACAGGTGGCAATTAAGAACCGAACACCTTCGCAATAATAATGACAGTTATGCTGAAGTAACACGGACAGTGCAGTCCAGGGCCGAAGCCACCACCCAGACGCCGATGCACCCAGGCTGAGTTTGAACCCGGCCTCGCCATTTCCAGCTGTGGCCCTTGGACATTAAGGAAGGGCAGGTAGTGACAGGACTTATTTAGGGTCGTGGTGAACTTTATCGGAGATAATATAGAGGGTGCCTGGCTCCGCGGGGACAGCTGTCAACTGTCATATGACACGTGAGTGTTGAACAGAGAGGTATCGTCGCCACACAGCCTCCACACGCCGCACAACGACCCCGAGATAATGCAGCATTAGGGTGGAGATAACTCCCACCCTATGGAAATTACCCCAGTACGGTGGAGATAATCTCTGCTCCTTTCTCAGGCCTTAGTTTCAACGGTCACCTGCTCCAAGGGGCCCGTCCTCCCCTCCCTGCCCCCTCTGTCCTCCTTCAAACTGAATGCGTGTCTCCCCACGTGGCAGTTCGCACCATTTTTAATGCCTTTGTTTGTCGAATGCTCATCTCCTCACTGGACTAAGCCGGCTCCAAGGTGGATGTCCCCTCTGTCCTTCACGGTGGCGTCCCCAGCTCTTCGGTCAGACTGCGCACCTTGTGTGTGTCCTGTAAACGTGCCAGAGTTAGGGTGGGCATGCCGGGGTTGTTAGAACATCTCCTGGGAACTCAGCCTGGAACAGGATGGCGTTCAATATGGCAGCTGTTACAGTGCAGCCACACGGCCACACCTGTGACTCGCAGAGGGTGTGTGGCCCTCACGTTACAGGCGGGGAATTGGGCACAGAGAGGTTGAGACACTAGGTTCACACGGCCCAAGAAGTCAGAGCTGCTTTTCTCACTTTGGCTGGTGATTAACCCCAAACCCATAGCCTTGGTCTCCAGGGCTGAGGTGAGGTTCTTGGGCATGGGACCAGTGGTCACCCATGGCCACCTTTTTCCCCAGAGCCCAACCAGAGAGATGCCCTCAGTGGGACCGGGTGCAGGCGGCTCAGGTTTTGCACGGCCTGTGGACACAGGCCGTCCTGACATTGGCGCAGGGTCAGATGCAGGAGATCAGGTCCTCCCTGACCTGGACCCCAGCCGTGACTAAGGGGTTCAGGCTTGGGGCTGTGGGGGAGGGCGCAGGTGTCCCTTAGTGGCCGGCAGTGGACCTGCGGGGGGCCAGCCCAAGGCTTTCCTGCCCCAGAGCAAAACAAAGTTGTATTTCTTCCTTTTTCTCCTCGTTTGCCCTCCTTCTCACTCCTTCCTCCTCTCCTTATGGTTACCCACGGGTCCATTTGCCCATTTCTCACCTGTTCCTTGCTTTAAAACCTCCCAATGCCTTTCCATTTTACGTAGGATCAGAACAACTTCCAAACTAAGGGCCGGCCATGTGGCTCAAGCCTGTAATCCCAGCTACTCGGGAGGCAGAGATCAGGAGGATTGTGGTTCCAAGCCACTCTGGGAAAATAGTTCATGAGACTCTATCTCGAAAAAACCATGACAAAAGAAAAAAAAAAGTGCTGGTGGTGTGGCTCAAGGCATAGGCCCTGAGTTCAAACCCCAGTACGGCAAAACAGAAAACAAAAAAATGACCCATCCACTTTGCATCCTGATGCAAATTGCTACAAATCCCACGTCTAGGGAATGGCTCGGCGCTCCCAGCGCTTGCTTCATGTGCCTGACACCCTGGGTTTCATCCCCAGCACCTTGAAGACAAAAAAAAAAACCAAAACCCTACCATCAACCACAAAGCAATCGATCACATTTAATGAAATAATTAGACCGGGAACAATTAACTGGAGGCCCTGGGTTCCATTCCCAGCACTAGAAAAAAAAGTTTGAACAATTACCAAGTATTTAATGACATTAAAAAATTAATAACTGGTGTGGCGCCTCACACCTGTAATCCCAGCACTCCAGGGGAAGAGGCAGGAGGATCTCGAGTTCTAGGCCAGCCTGGACCACATAGTAAGAGCCTGTCTGGTAAAACCAAGAGCCGGGGGTGTAGCTCAATGGTAGAGCACTTGATCCCCAGCATCACCCCCAAAGCAAGAGAGCGAGAGAGAGAGAGCGAGAGAGAGCGAGAGAGAGCGAGAGAGCGAGAGAGCAAAGGTCTTCGCTTTCTGAGATACATGCTAATGTCTTTATAGATGTGACAATCAGGAGGAAATGTAATATTGATAATAACCAAGTAACCAGGAGGACGGAGGAGGGGCACAGGCATGGATGTCACAGAAACCAGGTGTGGCTCCGTGGAGAACCCACGGACATCTTTCCTGAGTGCCCTTGCTAACTCCTTCCCCAAATCATTTTGTGACCCTGCCCCCCACCTGGAAAGTGACCTCCGCTGACCTGTGTCCACTCCTGGTGCCCACACCTGGCACTGCCTGACACATTATAGGCACTCACGCAGTACTTTTTGTTGGTTTTTGTTTTATTTATTTATTCACTCATTTATTTATTGGCGGTACTGGGATTTGAACTCAGGGCTTCGCACTTGCAAAGCAGGCACTTTACTGCTTGAGCCACTCCTCCAGTCCATTTTGCTCTGGTTATTTTGGAGATGGGGTCTCACAAATTATTTGCCTGGGCTGGCCTCACACCTTGATCCTCCCAATCCCAGCCTCCCGAGTAGCTGGGATTACAGGTGTGAGCCACTGGTACCTGGTTTACTGGGTGCATATATTCGTTTGTCCATACATAACCCGACGTACTTTTATCATATTTGTTCCTCTGTTACGTTTTCTTATCCCCTGTTTTTCTTTACAATTTTCAATGGACTTCATCGTTCTATTTCAGTGAGATGTTTTTATGAATGAATGTTGGATGAGTGAATTCTTTCGTTCGTCGGTCCCAGTCCACCTCCTCAGCACTGTGGGCAGCCATTACTCTGTAAAGGGTCTCCAGTCCAATGCTCCCTGTCCAGATAGGGAAACTGAGGCCCAAGAGGGGCAGATACTGTCAGGCTCTCACAGATGGGCACCCTGATGAGGCTAAGGGTGCTGGAGCTGACGGGTCTCCACCTTCCCCCTCCCCTGTCCTGGTTAGGGGTCTTGACTGGAGTGGCTGGCTGTGACCTTGTGTCTTCCTGCAGGCTCACTGTGTGGTCACTGGAATGGAGGGTGCCCTGGGGGACAGTGCCAAGGGCGGGCACTTCCACATCGTCACACCTCTGCTGGAGAGCTGGGCACTGTCCCAGGTGGCGGGCATGACTGTCTTCCTCAAGTGTGAGAACGTGCAGCCGGGTGGCTCCTTTAAGATCCGGGGCATTGGGCATTTCTGCCAGGAGGTGAGGGTGTGAGGGCTGGAGGGGAGAAGAGGGTAGTGTTGGCAATGGGATGGGAATTTAACCACATCCCACACAGGTCTCCACGCCCGCTGCTTGGGTGGGCCCCTAACTCCACCCTTCTCTTCCAGATGGCCAAGAAAGGGTGCAGACATCTGGTGTGTTCCTCAGGTGACCGCTCCCCTCTCTGCTTCATGGGGGCCCTCGGGTCTGGGTGGAGATGGAGGAGAGGGCTGGAGCAGCCGTCTACTTCAGGTTTGGCCTGCTCTTAAACATCCAGCCTAAGCCAGGTGCAGTGGTGCACCCCTGTAATCCCATCATGTAGGAGGTAGAGGCAGGAGGATCCCAAATTCAAGGCCAGCCTGGGGCATATAGTGAGACACTGTCTCAAAAACATCAGCCTCACCAAGGTCACAGTCTCGGTGACATTTGGTCACCCCAAATGTCTTCTCCTAGCCTTCTTCCCATAATCCAAGATGTGTGGTGGTTCTAAGAGATAGAAACTCAATTCATATGGAGTTAAGATACAGGCTCCAAGAACTGAACGTTGGCAGGATGAGTGGCTTTCAGGTGCAGCTTGATCCAGGAGTCTCCTGTAGCACTCCTCTGTTTTCTCTTTCCTCTACCTTAGCTTTGATCTCATAGAGACCTCATGGCAGCAGATGTTCACTGGGAGACCTGGCCTTGTGTCCTACCCTTCCACCAATCCTAAGGGAAAAGAAGCAGCTCTCCTCAATGCTAGAACCAATCATGGATCAGGAGCTGTTCACTGATTGGTTGGGTTTTAGGTCACGTGTCCACCGTGGGAGCGAGGGGGAGCAGTCAGCGGAGGGGCGTCGGTAGGGGAGGCTTGTGAGGGAGCTTGGAGAGGCATAGCAACAGGCTGACACAGTCCTCCCCTCTCACCCCATCCCAGGAGGCAACGCGGGCATTGCTGCTGCCTACTCCGCTCAGAAGCTGGCCATCCCTGCCACCATCGTGCTCCCTGAGACCTCCTCCCTGCAGGTGGTCAGGAGGCTACAGGGGGAGGGGGCCGAGGTTCAGCTGACTGGAAAGGTAAGACCCAGAGAAGGAATGGGGGGACTGCAGGGCCTGTCCCCAGGACATCTGTCTCCTTTTCCTTTGCATGAACAATGACCAGGACCTGATCTCTTAGGACAGCAGAGTGGAGGGGTGAGCGCGAGGTGTGGTGTCTATTGATGAGGGCTGGGACTGACTGACCTGCCACCCCCACCCACCTATGGTCCCAGGAGAAACAGGACACTAGGGAAGAATGTGTGCCCTCCCCCAGCATTTGTATTCTGGACTTCAGTGAGGAAGCATGAGAAAGATGACCTGAAAACTTCTTGTTTTGAAAGAGGCCACTGGTAAGAAAGTCACCAGCTCACTTGGTTACCAAAGAAACAGAACACACACGGAGCCCTTATCTGTCTCCAGGAAGAGGGGACATTGTTCAAATATTGGGGAACAGTTACAAAACCTCTTGGGATTAAACTCGAAATTGTGCCATGGTGCCCAAAGTCACCTCTAAACACTTAGTTCTTTCTCCCTCTGTCCCTCCCGTCCTCTGCCTAACTGTTCTTCTAATAGCTTTTCTCCTTCCTTTTTTCCTTTCTTCCATCCACCCATCCACCCACCCACCCACCCATCCACCCATCCACCCACCCACCTTCTCGCCCACCCACCCACCACCCATCCATCCATCTGCTATCCATCCATCCATCCATCCACTCATCCATCCATCCACCCATCTACCCATCCATCCATCCACCCACCCATCCATCCATCCACCCATCCATCCATCTGCTATCCATCCATCCATCCATCCACTCATCCATCCATCCACCCATCTACCCATCCATCCATCCACCCACCCATCCATCCATCTGCTATCCATTCATCCATCCATCCATCCATCCATCCATCTATCACCCCAATCAGCAGATGTTCATTGACCCCATAATCTGCCTGTGCCATTTTAGACAGATCTGTAAATACAGAGGTAAAGAGACATGGTCTTTACACTCCAGGAGTGTCGTAGGAGAGACACACAGGTTGACGAGTATTGTGGTGGGGGAAGCCCAGGGCCCCAAGGAAGACAGAGAAGGCAGGTTGTCTCAGGCAGCTATTGCTGCTGGAAGATGCTGAGTAACAAACAGTCCCAATGTATCAGTGGCTTGTGAGCAACCCTGTTGGCTGTTGGTCAAAGCAAGTCACGTGGCTGAGTGCAGCATTGATGGGGTAAAAAAACTAATCCCTGTGCTCTAGTGAGAACAGCAGAGCCTCAGGGCCAAGCGGTGGTGTGGGGTTCTAATAGAGAAAGGGAGGGCAGAATTGGCAATGGTTCAAACCACCCACGAGCCGTGCCTCAGACCTGGGGAGGGGAACCGTCTAAGGAGGGTCCCCATTGGGTCTTGAGGAAGAAATGTGAGTCCTCCCCATGGATGAAAAAAGGAAGACAGAAGGCATAAGTAGAGAAAAGGGTACAAGCGAAGGACAGTGGGCAGTAGGGAGTATCCAGCTGACCCCCAGCATCCAGGGAAGAGAGGTGAACATGGAGGCTGAAGGGGACAGTCGGCTGGTCAAACAGGGCGGCTCATAGGTGAAACAAGCCTGTGTTTCACCAAGGGCAATAGGGAGCCATGGAAGGATTTGGAGCAGGAAGGACCTGGTTGGATTTTTCCCTGCACTTGCTCTTGGGCAATGGAGGGGAGGCGGGCAGGATAGGAGGCTAGGAGCCATGGAAGAGGCCACCATGGACCTCCAGTGAGAGATCAAGAGCTGTGCAGGCTGGAAATAGAACGATGGAGAGATAGTTAGGGGATGAGGCTTGACTTTGGGAGGCTTCTTGTGGGCAGAGACCATTTCTTTGGTTTCCTTCCTGCTGAAGAGTCCCCCTCTCAGGGCTGGGTACATGGGGACCTGCAGGGTCACAGAGGACAGGGAAAGGTGATTTCTGGTCCCCAGTGACCCTCTACCCCTCCCTTGGGAGAGGTGGCTGCTATTCATGGTTTAGTTTTGGCATCTGGTTTCTGCTGAGTGGGGACCCTCTGAGGTGCTGTCTTACTGTGGGGTCCCCTGAAGTAGACTCTGCAACAAGGATTGGGGCGCATGGGGCTTATCTGGGAGGTGACCACAGGAAGCATACGTTGGGATTGTGGGAAGAAGCCTGGGCAGGGCAGGAAGCCCTGTGTGAGTGGGCAGATCCCCTGTGCGGGCACCTGGGAGATGGCACACAGCACATCTGAAGATGTCCTGCTGAGGAGAAAAATGGTGGTGGTCACCCACCAACTGGCATTCCTCACTGGCAAATGGTCACCTGCCCCTTGGCACTACAGACCTCCTGCCCATTGTGCAGCCACAGCTGGTGTTCAGGGAACGTTCTGAGGGGGACCTCCAGGTGGGCTGTGGGAACATGGACCTCTGCCACAGATGCCAGGCCAGGAGAACAGAATACCCAGGTCTTCTGGAGGCACCATGGGTCCCCAGGGTCACGGCCAGCCTGTGCACTGTACTGGCAGGCCATCTGTTGGGTGGTTGCTGGCTTTCGTGGACAGTTTGTAGTGGCTGCGTTGCCATTTGGGGCTCGGTGCCAGGGGTTCCTCCCCTCCTGGTTGGTTAGAATTGGGGGCCTTTCAGCTGGCTTGAAGCGCCCCTGCTCCTTGCACTCGAGGTGGCCTGGATCCGATATCACACAGCACGACAGTGTAAGGGGTCCCTTCGGGATTGGGGCAAACACAGGGATCCCCTTGTCTACCTGAGCTGTCCTTTCCCCAGGAGGCCACTGGGCTCACACCAGCCCTGTCCTCACCTGCGGGGAACCTCCAGGACACCCAGCCTCCACTTTTGTCCGTGGCCCTGGGCCTCTGAGGCCTCTGCTTCTTTACAGGTCTGGGATGAGGCCCATGCAAAGGCTCGGGAACTGGCCGAGAGGGACGGCTGGGTGTATGTCTCCCCATTTGACCACCCCCTGATATGGTAAGGCTGAAGGCCCCACCCCGGGGGAGCCCAGAGCTGAGAGACTCTGTTTGGATCAGGGTCCTCCCATTGGACAGAAAGGGAAACTGAGGCCCAGAGGGACAGACGAGGCTTCCACACTAGACAGACATAGGTTCAGCTCTCACTTCCAACATTTGGAAATTGTGTGACTTTGTACAAAGCACCTCATTGTCCCGTGCCTCAGTTTCCCCACCTTAAAATGGACATTTTAATGCTAAGCCCCCTTTCTTGGATATGTCTTGTGAGACCAGGCACAGGCTAAAGGCTTGCCTTGTATATTCTACTTATCTCCCCCGAAGCCCTAGAGGTGGATATTATACCCATTTTGCAGGTGAGAAAAACCAAGGCTCAGAGGGGTCGGGACACTTGACCAAGATCACACAGCTGGGGAGCAGCAGAGACACTAGCTCCAGGACTACATTAGTTGGTCCCCCCTTGTCACACCCGCTAACACTGCCTCTTTCCAAAGTCCCGGGGGAGGACAAGGACACAATGTCTGAGAGAGGGCCTGGGAGGCAGATGGAGAGGGTGAAAGAGGGAACGAAGGGAGAATGGAGGAAACTAGGGACCCTTGCTTTAGAAGCCCCTCCCCCTCTGCTGTGGGAGGGAGGGGCACCCATGAAGGGAGTTATGGCTATGGGGGGGGTGGGGAGCCCCCTCCCTACCCAGGGAGCCTTTGGGGCTGGGACCCCTCACCTTCTCCTCCCGCCCCCTCCGCAGGGAAGGCCACGCCAGCCTGGTGTGGGAGCTGAAGGCAGCGCTGCGGACCCCACCAGGGGCTGTGGTGCTGTCAGTGGGGGGTGGCGGACTCCTGGCGGGAGTGGCAGCTGGCCTGGTGGAGGTGGGCTGGCAGCATGTACCCATTGTCGCCATGGAGACCCACGGGGCACACTGCTTCAATGCAGCCTTGCAGGCAGGCCACCTGGTCACACTACCAGACATCACCAGGTGGGCTTGGGCTGGGGGGCATTTGGGGGAGGGGGTTGGAAGATGGGGCTCTCTATCCTGACCCCTCCTTGTCCCAGCCCAGGGAGGCTGTGCCATCCAAAAGGTCTCCTTGTCTTTGGGGTTCCAACCCAGGATCTAAGTTAGTGGGGTGGAAAAGTACATAAAGGGCGCCTGCCTAACAAGCATGAGGCCCTGAGTTCAAATCCCAGTACCACCCAAAATAAAATGTAGATGAGAGGTGTGATTCATTTAAACTCATCCTTAGTAAAATAAGCTTTTATCTGTGTGCATCATGAAAAAAGCATTGCAGGTATTCGGGATGAACACTGCTCCCACTGGCTGCGTTTTTAACCAGTCTGTCCTCAACCACTTCCCCTGTGCACATAGTGCGTGTCCGACCCATAAGAGAGACTCCACTAGTGTTTGTGACATGACAAGGGAGTGGATTACATATTTTTAAAGGTTGGGATTCGTTTGAAAATTTCCACTTATCAAACAAAAACACAGTTTTGTGTTTTCTGTCTCGTTAGTAGTAAGCTTTCGCCCCATTGCCTTTTGTGACTGATTTTATTATTTTAAGTTTTATTATTTTTTGTTGGTGGTGCACAAACTAGGCAAGTGCTCTACCACTGAGCCACACGCGCTGCTGGTCACTGATTTTAATAAAACTGAGGAAAATGCATAAACCAACAGCAGCATAGCCTTCAGGTCCTTGCCTGGCCTTCCGTCCTGCCACATTGTCATGGATTCTACAGTAGTGTCCTAGGGTTGCCATAAAAAATCACCCCAAACCGGGTGGCTTTGCCCACAGGACTTTATTCTTCCACACACCTGGAGGCTACAGGTTCAAAGTCAAGTGTCAGCGGATCGCTGTTGCTTTGGGGTCTCTGGGGAGGTTCTTCCCTGTCTTCTTGCTCCTGGTGGTGACTGGGTTTGTCCTGTCTCTGCCTCTTTCTCCCATGGCCTTCCTCTCAGCGTCTCTGAGTGTCCCCTCCTCTTCTTATAAGGACACCGGTCACAGGGCTGGTGTGTGTGTGTGTGTGTGTGTGTGTGTGTGTGTGTGTGATGGCGGAGTGCCTGGTCCTGGGTTCCATCCCCAGCAACTGCTCCCCCCCAAAAAAGACACCAACAATTACATTGAGGCCCCACCCTGACCCAGTATGACCTCACCTTAATTAGCGACATCTGTGAAGACCTTGTTCCAAATAAGGTGACATTCTGAGGCCTAGGTGGCAAGGCATTGGGACGATCTCCCCCCACCCTTATTTTATCAGACACCCCTGGGTGCTGGGATTTGGGGTATTATGATCTGTTACAGCAAGGTGTCTGAGGTCACCGAGTCTTTTAAGTCAGCTTTCTTAAGTACCTACTGTATACAAGGTTCTAAGTGACCAATTCAAAAAGCAGCTCAACGCTTGCCTCGAGGACAGTTACATCTGGACACACAGTCTCTTTCTAATCCTGGGAGGCCATCTCCATTCTCCCCCTCCAGCCCCCAACGCCCTGAGCTGCCTGTGCCTGAAATCCTTGGTGCCACCCATCCTGGGGCCTTGGCCCTCCTGTCCATGCTCTTGGAAGGCCATCTCTTCCTCCCTGATGAACTGCTCTGAGCCCAGCTGGCCCGTGACCTCTATCTTCAAGAGCCACCTGGTGTCCTGCGGGTCTCTGTGTCACACTGTGGCTGGGAACTCAGTCTAAAGGCTCAGCTTTTTGGGCCTGGTACCGTTAGCCCTAAGTTCCTGCTGTCCATCCTGAGCCTGTCACAGTGAGCACCAGCTGACATTCAGATATTTTCTAAAAATGAATCTCCATCATCCAGGTGCTCTGGCAGGGTGACCAGGTTCCTAGACTCCGGCTCCCTTCCAGCCCTTGTCCCCACCCAGTCCATTGCTGCTCCCCATCCCTTGTGCCGTTCTTGTTTCTGGATAATTTGAGTGCTGGGATTTGAACTCAGGGCCTTGTGCTTGCTAGGCAGGAGCTCTACCACTTGAGCCACTGCACCAGCCCTTTTTACTGTAGTTAATTTTCAAATAGGATCTTGTGTTTTTGCCGGGGCCAGCCTGCAGCTTCAGTCCTCCTGATTTCTGCTCCCAAGTGAGCCACCCGCCTGCCCAGCCCGGATGGCGTCTTTTACGATTCACCGCTTAAATTCTCCAGACAATGGCTTTAGTCTACTCACAATTGCACAGCCACCACCATCACCCCACAATAAATCTGAAGACATTCTCAACCCCCTCAGCTGTCCCCCCAAGTCTCTCGTCCCCCTCAGTCCCGGGAAATTACTGCTCTGGGTTCTGCCTCAATAGATTTGTGTGCTCTGGACATGTCACACGGCAGGTGGTCTCGTGGGACTGGCTGCTTTCACTCAGGGCCACGTCTTCAAGGTTTGTGGTGTGGCAGCAGTTTCCTTTTTATGGCTAATACCTTGTCACTCCGTGAATGACATTTGCTTAGCCATCCTCCTCTGGCCACGTTCGGGTCGTGTCCACCCTTTGGCTGTCATGAGGAGTTGTGAACGTTTGTCACCAGCTTGTGAGGGGACAGATGCTCTCGTTGCTCTTGGCCACCCTGGTTGTCCTTGAGTCCTTTTTGTTCTCCCAGCAGCCAGCACGGTCTTTTCCCATTGCTAATCTGCAAGACTTTTTTTCCCCTGTGGTGCTGGGGATGGAACCCAGGGCTTCGTGCATGGTGGGCCAGTCTGTGTCCTGCCACTGAGCTGCACCCCCCACCCCTGTCCCATAGGATTGTCCTTCTCCACTGACGCCTGCCAGGGCCTCCCCCAAGCTTGCAGCCAAAGTCCACCTGCTCCCCCTTCTCCACCGTGGCCTGTCTTCCAGCACCTTCAGTGCATGATCATCTGTCCTGCCTCTGCCTCTGTGTGACCTCCTTTGCTGGAACCGTCTCCCCAACTCTTCTTCCTTCAGCTGGTTTCTCTGTCACTTACATTCTAGCTCAAGAGTCACCAAGGAGAAAGGATCCTTACAACGGCCTCCCAGGGGACCCCTCCCCATTCCCCATGTTCTTCTTACCTGCTCTTGGGTTCATTGTTTATCTTCTCATTACTAGCACACTGTGTATTTTTTTTTTTGATGGTACTGGGATTTGAACTCACGGCTTTACACTTGCAAAGCAGGTGCTCTACCATTGAGCACACCTCCAGTCCATTTTACGCTGGTATTTTGGAGGATGGGGGTCCTCATGAACTGTTTCCAGAGCTGGCTCAAACCTCAATCCTCAGATCTCAGCCTCCGGGCAGCTAGGATTACAGGCACGAGTCAACCAGCACCCGGCCAGGCTGTGTTCTCAGTCATAACCACAACTAAGTGTCAGGCTCCAATCTGACATTTTAAATATTTCAACTCACCCAGTCCCCTAGATGACTCATGAGCCCATTGTTTCTGATGAAGAAACAGAGGCCCCTAGAGTGAAAGTGACTTTTTCAAGGTTACACAGCTAGTGCAGAGCTAAGGTTCAAAGCCAGGCACCCACACTTGTGCCCTGGGCCCTCTCGGGGGGGTCAGACCCTGCCCCCCTCCCCAAGGCAACTCTGGGTCCAAAACACATGAACTCCTGGAGCCAAACTGCCTGGGCTGGGATCCATGTTCTGTTATAGTCCTGCTGTGGGTGTCCCTTCAGCTGGTTCTTAACCTCTCTGAGCTCGGTTTCCTTCCCTGTAAAATGGAGAGCTAATGCATTTCCACTCAAAAGGGACTGTGAGAATTGAAACAGAGAATCTATCCATCCAGTACAATGTACACATTTCTAAATATTAGCTGTGGTATAGACATGAATAAATAAAAATACTTTAGAACAATCAATAAAATGAAAACATCCCTTTCTATGCTGGCTTTTTGGGGTTGAGGAATGGGACAAGCAGGGTGGTAGGGTCAGAGGACTAAGGTACCTTCTGTGCCTCCTGATGGGGCCACACACCCCCGCCACCACAGGGTGTGGGGTAGCCCGGGGGGGGGCAGTGAGGGTCCTGCCTGACTTGCCAGCTCCTTCCTGCTCTCCCTGTCCCTCAGTGTGGCCAAAAGCCTGGGAGCCAAGACGGTGGCCGCACGGGCCCTGGAGTGCGCGCAGGAGTGTGAGATCCTCTCTGAGGTGGTGGAGGACGCGGAGGCTGTAAGCGCTGTGCAGAGGTTCCTGGGTGAGTGACCGCTGCCCCACCTGGCTCCAGGCCGGCCGAGGCCCTTGACCCTCTGGGAAGAGTGGGCAGTGATGTGTGTCCAGGAGATGGAAGGTCAGGGCAAAGACAGTCCCGGCTGCTGCCAGCCTCGGATTCCTCTCGCTGGATTCCATTCCCTGGCCCTGCTCTCTACCAGCTTCCTGTGCCTGAGGCTATTCAGTCATCATGGCACCTCCTCCAGGAAGCCCCATCTCCCACTACCATCCTGCTGGGCTGGGGATTATGTGCACCACTGTTTGGTTCTTAGGGATCACTGGAGTGTGAGCTCCATGAGGGAGGACTTAGTCACTATTGGGTCCCAGGGTCTTCCCAGCACAGGGCCTGGCAGGAATGGGTACTCAATAAATGTTGACTGAATGGATTAATAATCTGGGTGAGCAGATAAGGGATATGGATGGACAGATGAATGGTGGATGGACGGATGGATGGATGGATGGGTGGGTGGATGGATGGGTGGATGGGTGGATGGATGGATGGGTGGATGGATGGATGGGTGGATGGGTGGGTGGGTGGGTGGATGGATGGGTGGATGGGTGGATGGAATGTGGGTGGGTGGATGGATGGATGGATGGGTGGATGGGTGGGTGGATGGGTGGGTGGATGGATGGTGGGTGGATGGGTGGGATGGATGGATGGATGGGTGGATGGATGAATGGTGGATGGATGGATGGGTGGGGGATGGGTAGATGGATGGTGGGTGGATGGGTGGATGGATGGGTGATGGGTGGATGGGTGGGTGGATGGATGGGTGGATGGATGGATGGATGGATGGGTGGATGGATGGGTGGATGGGTGGGTGGATGGGTGGGTGGATGGATGGGTGGATGGATGGATGGATGGATGGATGGGTGGGTGGGGGTGGGTAGATGGATGGGATGGATGGATGGGTGGATGGATGGTATGGATGGGTGGGTGGATGGATGGATGGATGGGTGGATGGATGGAGATGGATGGGTGGTGGATGGGTGGGTGATGGATGGGTGGATGGGTGGGTGGGTGGGTGGATGGGTGGATGGGTGGGTGGATGGGACAGATGATGGATGGATGGTGGATGGACGGATGGATGGGTGGGTGGATGGGTGGGTGGATGGGTGAGAATGGGTGGGTGGGTGGATGGATGGGTGGATGGTGGGTGGATGGGTGGGTGGATGGGTAATGGATGGGTGGGTGGTGGGGTGATGGGTGGATGGGTGGGTGGATGGTGGATGGGTGGGGTGGATGGACGGATGGATGGGAGGTGGATGGGTGGGTGGATGGATGGATGGATGTGATGGGTGATGGATGGGTAGATGGATGGGTGGGTGGATGGGTAGATGGATGGGTGGGTGGGGGGTGGGTGGATGGATGGGTGGATGGGTGGATGGGTGGGTGGATGGATGGGTGGAATGGATGGATGGATGGATGGGTGGATGGATGGGTGGATGGGTGGGTGGATGGGTGGGTGATGGATGGGTGGATGGATGGAATGGATGGATGGATGGGTGGGTGGATGGGTGGGTAGATGGATGGATGGATGGATGGTGGATGGATGGGTATGGATGGGTGGGTGGATGGATGGATGGATGGGTGGATGGATGGGTAGATGGGGGTGAGTGGAGGGTGGGTGGATCGGATGGGTGGATGGGTGGGTGGGTGGGTGGATGGGTGGATGGGGTGGGTGGATGGACAGATGAATGGGTGGTGGATGGACGGATGGATGGTGGGTGGATGGGTGGTGGCATGGGTAGATGGATGGGTGGGTGGGTGGATGGATGGTGTGGTGGGTGGATGGGTGGGTGGGATGGGAGATGATGGGTGGGTGGGTGGGTGGGATGGGTGGATGGGGGGTTGGAGTGGAATGGGTGGGTGGATGGATGGGTAGATGGATGGGTGGTGGATGGGTAGATGGATGGGTGTGGGGTGGTGGATGGGTGGTGGGTGGGTGGATGGGTGGATGGTGATGGGTGGATGGATGGGTAGATGGATGGGTGGGTGGATGGGTAGATGGATGGGTGGCGTGGGTGGGTGGATGGGTGGATGGGTGGGTGGATGTGGTGGATGGGTGGGGTGGATTGGACGGATGGATGGGAGGTGGATGGGTGGGTGGATGGATGGATGGATGGGTGGATGGTAGATGGATGGTGGGTGATGGGTAGATGGATGGTGGGTGGGTGGGTGGATGGTAGATGAATGGGTGGGTGGATGGACGGATGGATGGGAGGGTGGATGGGTGGGTGGATGGATGGATGGACACATTGATCAATGGACATATTGATGGATGGACAGAATGACAATCAAGTGCTGGGTAGGGAATGGCTGGCTGCTGGGGGTGGATGCCTAGTGTTGACTGGCTGCATTGATGGATGGACAGACAGTCTAGTGGTGGACAGAGGAACAGATGGATGGGTAGATGACAGGTTGATGGAGACAGGATCAGGGTGGAGGGATGGGCAGAGGATGGACGGATGGCAGATCTGCGGAGCTTGACCTGCCGAGCACTGACTGATCCTCCTCCTGTTTCTCCTCCTCCCTGCACTCCCCACAGATGATGAGCGCATGCTGGTGGAGCCGCCTGTGGAGCGGCCCTGGCTGCTGTCTACTCAGGCCTCCTGGGGAAGCTCCAGGCCAAGGGCCGCCTGCCCTCTTCCTTGACTTCTGTCGTGGTCATCGTCTGTGGAGGTTACAACATTGACAGCCGACAGCTGCAGGCTCTGAAAACCCAGCTAGGCCAGAGTTGAGGGATCCTGAAGACCCCCAAGAGGCTCACGTTCACCCTCATGGTTGGCTGAGGGGCTTCTGTTCCCATGGATAGCAGTGGGCCACCCTGTGCATTTGTACATAGTACCTCCTCCTGCAGGAAGCCTCCTGGACTGCTTCTGGTGGCTCCCTGCAGCCGGGTCAATAAACTCTTCAGAGTTGAGTTGGTGACTCCCATCAGTCCTGTTTTTCGCTCTCCATGAGCTCACGGGGTTCACAGGACAATCCTAAAATCTATTTGGTGAGAAAGTGACTTCAAATCACACAGTGTGGGAACCAAGCCAAGCCTTGAAAACCCAGCCAGGTTCAAAGTCTGTGATTCCCAGTGTTGCCGCACAGAGTCTGGATCTCAGTCCTTGGTGTGGGAGTTGTGGTGGCAGGATGGGGGACTTTGGGGTCAGAGTCCCAGGTTGGGCTGGACACACCTGTGGGGTACAGGGAGAGCAGGCACTGGGCCTGGAACTGGGTGACTCCACCCTGGAAGGAAACATATCTCTAGGGAAACAGGATAAGATGGTCGGCTCCTTTGCAGCCACCAGGGGGCAGCAACAAGTCTCCTATGGGGACAGCAGCTGGGGCAGACACCTGTCCCCTGGGGTCCCCTACTCCAGCTGGGGTGTTGAGGTCCCTGAGGCATCTGTAACCCACAGATTCTTGGTGTGAAGGGGCCTCTTTCAACCCCTCGTAGCCCTTGTGGGGTCCACCTGTGTCACAACCCATCAGAATCCAGTTAACTGTCACGTGGGCTGTGTGACCTTGGGCAAATGCCTTCCTCTCTCTGGGTCTCTGGCCGCAGCAGATGTAGGAGGTGCCACTTCTCATCTTTGTCCATGCTGTTCCCTTCACCAGGTGCCGCTTCCTTTTTGCAGAGCAGCCTCTGCACCTCTGTTGAGTCCTACACATTGTCCCGATCACAGGAGACCTCCCTCCAGCCATCCCAGGGTTCAGCCCTGTTTCCTTGTGAATTCCCCTGGAGAGAGACAATGGCAAGGCTGTAAGCCAGAGCTGGATACAGCCAGACCTGAGGCAGGCTCTGTGACTCCCTAGCCTGCGGCCCATGCAGAAGGGTGCTTCGCCAACCCTGCCAGCGCCTCGATGTTCCCAGCTTACAACAGGCTGGTGGAGCATGGTTACTACGACCTGCCATATGTAGTCTTTCAATAAATACCTCTTCTTCTAGCTCCTGAACAGACCTCCAACAGCGAGAAGTGAGGAGTGGGGAGGACCTAGGCTTTATTGCATACCGAGCACCTGGGTATGCTCTGGGCTTTAGCAGTCCTTGTATTTGCAAGTGAGGAAACTGAGGCACAGAGCATTGGGCTACCTGGTCTGGTGTCAGTTGAGCACCAAAGCGTCATACACTGAATCTCTCCTGCTCTGCCTTCTTTCCTTTGCTCAGTTTGGGTCTCTGGCTACCATGTGCTCCATGCTTCTGAATCATAAACATCCTCCAAAGCCCAGCTCAAGAGCAGCCTCCTCCCAGAAGCCTCTCGGGATTGCCTTCCAGGTAGTGCTCTCCTCCTACAGGTGTCTCTCTGGGTGAGTGGCAGAGTCACCTGGGTCCAGGTGCTCCCTCTCCCAGGTGGCCCTGCCTGGGAGACTGTCAGCTGCTGTTTGCTCCTCTCAGATAAAAAGCCGAGGGAGCTGTTGACCCATTCTGATAACACATGTTGGTGAGCTCAGTTAGCCCTTCCTGGTTGACACCCGAGGCACGCGGAGAGCAGGAAGGGGACACTGGGATCTGTCAGGGGACAGAGAAACCATGGAAGCTGTGGCCGGGGGAGGGGAGGTTATTCTGCCTCTGGAGTCTCTCATTTGGGGGGAGCAGAGAGCCTCTGAGGAGGGCCAGGGCAGGCCTCTCGGTGTTTATCCAGCATGGCACAGAGAGCTCTGCCACCTGGGCTGGCAGGTGTGTGTACCTGCCCGAGGTTCCGCACCCCCCCTCCCCCAGCCTCCCCGGCCTCCCCCCAGCTGGACGCTCCCTGTGCCTCCTGCAGCCAAGATTGTCCCCTCACCACGCTGGCCCCACAGCTCAGCCTTGGACTCCGTGCAGACCTTCAAGCCAGGGGCCAGACTTGGGATCTTGGCTCATATCGGGGCCATGATCTCACCCCAGAGGTAGTGCCAGGCGGAGAGAAATGTGGACAGGAGGACGCACTACCTCACCTGGGCACAGTCTGCCAGGCAGGACAAATGCCTAATGGCACAGGCTGGCTTTGTGTCTTAGTCCCTTCTGGCTGCTATCAAAACTACTGCAGTGCAGGTGCACGAACTGGGCGATTGATCATAAAATAATAGAACAGTAGCCGGACACCGTGGCTCAGGCCTGTAATCCCAGCTACTCAGGAGGCAGAGATCAGGAAGATTGCAGTTTGAAATCAGCTCAGGGGGTGGGGAAAGTTCTCCAGAGCCTATGCTGGACAAACCCAACACAAAACAGGGTTGGTGAGGGGCTCAAGTGGTTAGAGCGGATGCCTAGCAAGTGTGAGCCCTGAGTTCAATCCCAGTACCGCCAAAACAAAAATAATAAAAATAATAGCAAAGTATCGCTTGTGGTTCTGGAGGCTGGGAAGTCAGGGCTGCTTCCTAACAGTGATGTCCACTCTCACCTTCCTCAGCAGCAGGGTAAGGGAAAGGCACAAGTCTCTGCAGAAGGGCTGCACCCCTGTACCCGTGTCACCTCCCACAGGTCTCACCTCTTAGCATCATTTGCTTGGGGGTTACAATTTCAACCTGTGAATTTTGGAGGGACACGAGCGTAAAGGTGTCTCTGTGGCTGTGGCACCTGTTACCTGTACTTACTTGTGTGTACACACACACACACACACACACACGTTTCACAGATGGTCTTTGATTTTCTCCTCCCTGTGTAACCCTCTCCATTTTTGTCTCACACACCTGTGAGCCAGTCACTTATCCAGACCTCAAATTTCTGTGTCGAAGGTGAAACAGGCTGAGGGCTGGACTTTTGGGAGTGGTGGGATTGGAGCCAAGTGGGATCTAACACTTTACCTAATGGAGGTAGCTGCTACTTACCACAGCCACTTGTGGGCTCAATGCAACATACCTTAGTGTTACTCAACCGTAGGGCAGTGTGGGAAATGCTGTGGACTCTGCCTGCTCAAATATTCCTATCAGTGCTCTGACAGGTCCTGCAGGATGGAGGAGGAGCAGGGAGCCACAGACCTCAGCCAATCTGAACATTGCATTTCCCCTTTCCCCCAGTTGATTGTTCAAGACCAGGCCCAGGAGCCAATCAGAGTGGCTCAAAAGGAAAGGGGAGGTGCCCGGGGCCCGTCCATTTCTGCAAGTCAATCAACTCCCCCTGTGCAACGGACTTGCTGTGCATGTGGGACTGGTGTGTGGCGCCCCCTGCCTCTTGAATTGAACTGACTTGCTCTCGGCTGCCTGCTTTTTTTGAGCTTTATTTGGGACGATCCCTCTTTGGATCCACTTTTCTACTTTTGCTCCAGGCGGACGAACGAATGCCAAGTCGAAGAGCAAGTAGAGTGTGGTGACATTAGGTGCTGGGTTTTCTGGAGACTGCAGGGTTTTCAGTCATATTAGGTGAGAGTCTCCGATGGAAGTGACCAGTGCAAATGGTCGGGGCTGGGGTCCCTGAGCCCTGATGTCTCCAACGTCTCTACCCAGCCCTATTTGTTGGGGAGCTCAGTGCCAGAAAACTCCAGGTCACCTTGCAGGGGTCTTGGGAATCTGTCTCGAACCTTCATGTGTTTCTGTATCATTGGAGTAACTTTCAGTTTTGCAATTCAGAAATCACAGAGTAAGTAGCTTAAATAAAATAGAAGTTTTTTTTGTTGTTGTTTTTGGCTTCAAAGTTTTGGAGTGAGGGATCCAGGGCTGTGTCTCTGTCCCTATGGGTCAGGCACCCCAAATTCTCTGCTTTCCTCATAAACCTAGCTGGATGTGGAGAGGTAGCCATTATATCCTCATTCCAGGTAGCAGCAAAGAGGAAGAGATGACAAAAGGCATATCTCTTCTCTTTAGGACGCTTCCTATAATGAACACACACTATACTATTTCTATACAAAGCCCATTGAGCAGGAGCTAGTCACGTGCCCTAGCTAGCTGCAAGATGCTGGGGAAATGTAGTCTTTCTAACAGGCAGCCATGTGCGCAGGTGGTATCAGAGGCTCTGGAAACGTGGCTCAAGCAATAGAATGTCTGCCTTAGCAAGCACAAAGCCTGAGTTTGAACCCCAGTACCACTACCACCATTACCACCAAAAGAAAGAAAAAAAAGAAAGAAGAATACAACCGATACTGAAGATAAAGAAGTCTTTTCCATGGCAGAGTAAGTGTGCAAGGGCACAGGTGATGCTCCTGTGACAGAAAGAACAAACAGAATAGTGTTATTTCAGACAGGAGGCAGCTCTGCTCCACTGGTCATGCAGGGACTTAGGTTCCTTCTAAACATTATTTTACATCTCTCAAAGTATTGCTTGCCGTTCCACTCGGTCAGAATTAGCTCCCTGTCACCAACTGCTTCATAATCACCAGAGAAAACTAGAGGCAGAAGCTTGTATTTAAGGGCGTGCCTGGATGGGACACACTTCCACTTGGCACTGGTCAAGACTGAATAACTTGGCTGCAAGGTATTTGGGAAATGTAGTCTCTAGCTGGACACACACCCAGCTAAAGCGCAACGTTTGATTTCTGAAGAAGGAGTCTTGGGACCTCAGGCTTGTTAGCCTCTACTGCAGGGAAGATGGAGGCAGTGGCTGAGTTGGAGGAGGGTGCTCTGTGCTGGTATAAGGTGTGCAGAGGCCCGTTGCAGAGTTACTGGACCCGGCAACTCTAAGAAGAGTTAAGCTCAGTCCTGTGGTTTGGCAGGGAGAGACCAGGTGTTTGGAGAAACACTGAGAAAGTGGAGTCAACCAACTGGGCAAAGGGTTTGGAGTGGGCGAAGTTGGCCACCAGGGTTCTGGCTTAGGTGACTGTCTATGTAGAAGTCTGAGGAG